GGAGATGAGCTACTTTGGACCATAATTCCTTGCTTATTTCCTTACGTCTACTGAGAGCAAAGAAAATGGGATTTTCTGGCTATACTCACATCCATTTTTCACAATTCTATGAAAGGAAGCAGTCTTAGGCCCATATTCTGCACATTGTAAATATAGAGGAAAACCTGAGGGTCTTAGCTATTCAGAATTACATCAAAAAAAAGAGGTAGCCTTGATGGCAATTTGAGTAAGCCAATGACCACTGTCACACTGCTCCAAGAACTGCCTGGAACACAACCCGATCTTTCCTTTCCCTTTAAACTAGTGCATGGAAACAAATATGCTTTGGTCAGCCCCAGTGCCAAAGTCTTTTCTGAGTCTAACTCTGAAGCACCATTCACCTCTGGTTAAGAGAACTAAACCATGGAAATGCCAACTTGGAACAAGTTATATTATGAAAAGCCTATAAAATTGCTTATATTTTATAATTATTAAATTATGCAGGACAGAGAAAGAGAATTTAAACAAACAAACAAAATCAAACAAAAACCCAACCCACAAACCGATTGTATTTAACTGTTATTTTCCCCAGTAAGGTTTCTGTGATCTCTTTATTAGACACAGTATGTGTCAGCTAGTCAACTCATAAAAAAGTCCAGAAAGACATGCCAGGAAAGGAGACATATTTTCTGTCTCTCCCTTCCTGTGAAAATGTCCGATGAGCTCATCTGTGTTTTCTCCTTTTAATGAAAGGTACCTTCGTTTCTCAACCCTCATCTTCCTCTCATTTTCCACTGATGATGTCAGGCAGGCCTTACAGTATCTCTTTTGTGATCTTGTAAAATCAATGACAACCAAAAACGCTTTCCGTATGGCTATGACCTCACCCACAGTCTCCACCTGGACAGGCCCTCATCTGCATTGTTAAGCAGAGCTCACCTCTGCTGATCCAGACTGAAGCAATTTACCAGGAAACTACTGCTTTCCTTCAAAAATCTGCCTATTCCATCCAGTTCTCAAAGATTTTTCAGCAACCTGGCTGACAGAAGAAACTAATTGGCCAAGATGTGCTTTACAATCTTTGTGCTTCTCCATATACACAAATAACTCTCCTTTACCAAGTCTTGTTTATACCCAAATCCCAACCAGACCTGACTATTGGTTAGATTGACTCAGAAAGACTGGGTAGTACTGTCCTGTGTGGTTTCCTAGGTTGTCTGTCATCTTTAGGGAAGCCGACTGCCATGTCTGTCTCTTGTAGAAATGCTGGTGAGTTTCACTCACCCAATTTCTTGATTAGCAGCTAAGCATTTAATCAGTGCACTACCAGGGTCCCTGTTTACACGTGCAAGGAGCACCTGGACACTTTATCCAAGACATGTCTGCCTTTTGACAGTTCGCAGGAGAGTCAGTATTTTTCTCCAATATCACAGCTCAAAGGCATCAATTCTTCAGTCATCCTTATTCATTATCCAGCTGTCAGATGCACAGCAAGTGACTTTAAAGGCCATGGTCTAAGTCAGATATACCTTAGTCTTTAAACTGACATCACTGCTTCTCAGTACTTTGGAGAGGCCCTAACAGTAGACCTTCCCAACACTACATGTATCTTGACATAATGGATGCTGACTGATACCAAGGATGCTGACTGTGCATCTAAGGAAGATGAAATTGTTAACATGAAATTTCAATCTTTTTTCCACAGAAAAACAAAAATGTGCATGATTTGTTTTACTATGATATTCACATTACTGTGGTGGTCTGTCTGGAAAGAAATGTTCAGTGTCTTGGAGATCTGTCTGTAATCCTGTCCATAGGCACTGATCTAAATCTAGGCCCTCCAAATACTCTTCAGATGGCTAATTCAGCTTCTTCAGAACCTGTGACATTGACAGAGGGCGTTCTCAGAGGGTATTCAGTCTCTGAAAAAGATCCTCTGCTGTAAAAAGAAGTTGGTATTTGCTGTTGCTGCTGGTGGTTTACAAATACTTGAGTGCAAGCTACATACCCGGTATAATTTAATAATTTTACATGAATGAGTGCATTTCACCTAGTTAAAAACTCTGAGTAAAGTACTATTAATTGTTATGACAGAGGAAAAAATAAGAGGAAGTTTTTTAAACCTCAACACCTAAGAAGCGATAGAACCAGATCCAAACTCAGTCCACAAGATTCTAGAACCCACATTCTTAACTGTCTGTGATATTACATCTTCAGCTGTAAATGATTCTAAGCCAATTTCCATGCATCTGGTCAAATCAGAAGTACTGGCAAGCCAAAGTTTAAACTAAACTTTCCTTACAAAACATAGGAACACCTGATTTTTTTTCTTTTTAATCTATATTCCTATTGAAGTAAAAAAAAGACTCCCTGCAGTGTCTTTAAAAGCTGCTCTGAGATTTGTTTGTAAATCAGCTTCTCAGTCTATAGTTGAGACTTGTCAGTAGGTAGACTTAAAGTGAAAAACAAACAGAAGCAAATTAACCTAATGTTTTACACATTTTTAAAGTACTTTTGAAGAGCTTTGGCATAGTGTTACTCATTCCACTGCTAAATAAAAGTCAGAGGGAGAAAGATGGGCAGTCCAACATCAAGATTTACAGTCCTGAAAACCCAATGGAAGGATGCTATGTATTAGAAGCCACCTGATGATGGTGGGTTTGGGATTGGTTTGGTGGGGTTAGGAGAGGTGAGTGTATGCTGAGAATTATTGTCAGGATGTATTTCATTCTAGAAGATCAAGAGACGGAAAAGGAAGCTAGCTAGCATTTATTAAGTGTGAACTCTGTGCCTGGCATTGGGCTACAGAGCCTTTTCACATGTGCAATCTTATTTAACCTCACAACAACCCTGTGCAACATTGCCAATTCCAGTTTTACAGATGGGGCTCAATGAGGTGATTCACTTAGTTCACGATCACACAGCTAATAAGCAGTATAAACGGTAATCAAATTTAGAAATGCTTGACCCACATTTCCTCCCCAAGATTCAGGTTACATGTTACATGCTACCTATAAAATGACCTTGATGTTCACATCTGAAGGAAATGGTTTCAATCTCTCCATTACAGGTTGTCATGTTTACACCGATTGTCTGTCTGTAAGCTTATTTGGCTCAATATGCAGGTTTTAGTGTTGTATGTCTCAGAACACTTGGCAGGACAGTATAGGCAGAATAGTAGCTTGTGTGTTATCTAATAATGTGAATTTAAACATTGTTTAAGTGAAGATGATAATCTTAAGTAAAAAAGTGAATTAAATTTTAAGGCAACATTTTGAGGCTTCAAACTGAAAGGCACTGCTTGACAGATCTGCCACAGATCTGAATGAACCCCAGCAGTCAAAGCGCACAAGGACATGGCTCCCTAAGCCCTGAGGGTGGGGTTATGATCACGCTTCCTCTGTTGGCCCTTTCTTTGCCTTCCCCTGGTGCCTCTTTGGCTGCTCTTTCTTCCCTGGCTTTGAACCTGTTGGCAGCTTCTAACAGCTTCTCTTCAAAGAGCAGAACACCAGCCTGATGCTACAATTGCTCTGCCTAATTCCAGACAGGTTTCCATTAATTGTATTAAATTTGGATGAACAAAGGGTATTTAGTCTGCTAAAGAGCTGAACCGTATCTGGATAAATATAAACAAGAAAGTTAATCCTGGAAGAGTCATTATCGACCAGCAATTGGAAGGATGTCAGCAGTGCCCTTGCTCAGGCAGGCTGAAGAGTAGAAAGCAAGAGAGATTTAACAAGATTGGTGCTGAGCATCTGGACTCTGTATAAACAGAGGCAAAACAGAGTACAACTGGAATACATTAGGGGAAAGCAAATCCTTTATTCACACAAAAAAATATTAATAATATCAGTCTTTAATCTACCCCAGGGCCCCTCAGCTTGCCTTACTCATTGTAGATTTCCATTGCTTCTGCAGAGCCTCCTCCTAAAAGTCCCTTCCCAGATCGGTTTGAGGTCATGGGACAGACACACCGTTGTTAAACAGATATGCAAGGGCAGCACATGTAACTAGAACCCAGGGTGACAACCTAATCCTGGCATGGAACGATGCGGTTAGTATGGGGTGATATTAGTTTTTCTAGCATCTACGGAATCATTTGATGTGAACAGCAATAAAAAAAAAAGAAATACAAACACATGCAATGCATTGCCACAAAGACTGGATGGCCAAGACCTGAAACAAGAGACATTTCTTTTGTATTATTGGCAGGGCAGTGGACAAAACAATGAATTGGCAAGGGGAAGTTCCTGTCTTCTGTCCAACCCCAGCTGGGCAGCTGTGTGACCTCAGGTTACCTGGCCACTGTGAATTGTGGACCATGGCTTAGCTACTATAAAAGATCTCTTTCTGTTTTAAAGACAAGGATTTGTCCCATGAAAGTGACTTTTTATAAATATACTGCATTATTACAAGGTGAGTGGCTATAACATGTCCCCACAGAATGTTCTGCCTAACTTCAATGGCTAAGAGCAAAGCGTTGGCAGGTGCATTACAACAAGAGGTTCAAATAAAATAGAATCAGAAAGCAGTTCTGGAGATTATTCTTGCTCCAAGTCACGACCACAGATTTTTAACTACCCACATATCTTAAAGTCGTCTTTGGAACAGACAGAACAAGGGAAAAACAACTGGATGCCCCCAAAGCATTCAGTGACCACAGTTTATGATCTACGTTCCCTCAATAAGCTACTTACTTTCCCCAAGCTCTCTGACTCATGCTCTTTATGTTTGGAACACACCCCATCTTTACCTAGCAAAATGCAACTCATTCTTCAAGGTCCAATTCCAAGACTTCCTAGCTGGAATTCACTGACCTTGCACCTGGTTTGCGTATCAATTACAATATTTATTGCATGCTACCTCATGATACATTATATTCTCATTTCTTTTAAATTATAAATTCCTTAAAGGCAGGATCTGGGTGATTTTTCTTTATGTCCCTGGACCTGACTGGTAAATTATAAGCCTTCCTTCAATAACAGTTTCTGAATTAAACATAACATCAAGTTTCACTTTACCTGCTAAAGTGACAGCAATGGAGACGGAGTCGTAGCCCAGGGCATTTGTGGCATTGCAAGTGTAGAAACCAACATCAGCTTCCACTGGTGCCAAGATCTGTAAGGAATCATCTGGCTGTAGAAGAATCCTGGGGCAACAGAAAATAAATTCTGGTCAGGTCAGTAGCTCCTTTTGGCTTTCAATATTGTTAAGGTGGGAAAGAAATTCAGTATCAACAATTAGTCACAACACCAGCAACTCTTATCTTTTTTTTGCCACTGTGACTGATGTGATTGTGGTTGTTATTACGGGCCTTTGAATCACCTGAGACCCATACTGACCCTATGTACAAAAGCTCTGAATTCTGTCTTGTCCTGAGATAGTCTCACTAATTTCAACACACCGACCCCATTGCCCCAGTTACTCTATCAATCCATCTCATCCAGGGTCTTCCTCTCCTGTGCTGTCTCTCCCCCCTTCCAAGCATAATGTCCTTCTCCAAGGACTGGTCCCTCCTGGCCACGTGCCCAAAGTATGTGAGATGGAGCATCAAAATCCTAGCCTCCAAGCAGAAACTTGGTTTCACCCTCTCCCAGACAGATCTTTTTGTTTCTTTGGCAGTGTATGATATTTCAAGACTCTTTTCCAGCACTACAACTCGAAGGCATCGATTCTTTTTCTGCCATCCTTAGTCACTATCCAGCTCTCTGTAGCATAACAAATAATCGCAAAGATAATGGCCTGGATTAGGCACACCTTCGTCTCTAGAGTGACATCGTTGTTTTTCAACACTCTGTAGAGGTCCCTGACAGCAGACTTTTTCAGTGCAATTAATCTTTTGATTTCTTGACTGCTGGTGTTGACAGTGAAGCTGAACTAGCTGTAATGGTTAACAACTTTAATCTTGTCTACATCTATGACGGTGCTGTCAACTGGCCCAGTGATGAGAATCCTTGCCTTTTGAGGTTGAGCTTCAATCCATATACAAGACTACAGTCCTTGACTTTCTGCAGCAAGCACTTCAGGTCTTCTTCAGATTCAGCAAGCAAGGTTGTTTCATATGCATAATGTAGGTTGTTGATGAGTCTTCCTCCAATCTTCCCAATCCGTGCCAGGAATACTTGGGCTCCACACACAGCCGGAGTCTGGGTTTTGAACTTTAGCCTCCTAACTCTGTGTTGGGAACCTCACAGATTTGCACAAGACAGGATTTGAGACTGCCCTATAATCTTCTTAATTAGGTAACACTCATTCTCCCAGAAGTCCATCGGCTTCCTTAGCATTGGCTTTCTGTGTGACTGTGGTAGCCACTCAAATAAGGAAGCTCCTTCCTGGCTCGTATGCTTACAGATGACTTAGTTGAAATGCTACCAAGGAGAACATACAACACAAGCACACTGAGTACATGTTAACACCCCCACCAGGGGTGAAAAGGGATGTTAGGATGAGTGGTGCAGATGGATCTAGAGAAGGGTTTATGGGGAGCACACAAAGTTACACAGGAGCAGCAGGACTTAGTTGCATGACAGGAAGTACACAGGGCTTCTCCCGAAAGTGATGTTGTTAAGGGGTCGTAAAAAAAGTGAGAGATGAGAGGATCTTGTTATATGTGAAACTCTCTCAGTTCTAAATTGTATCTCTCTTTCTCTCTCTCTCTCTTATTTCCCTCATTAGTTTCTAAGCATCATAGGGACTACAACTCTGGTGTTATTTCCTGTGATATTTGGGAAATGGTCTCCTGTAGAGACAGCTAAACCTGCCCTGTATTTCCAGGGTAAAGATAATTCCAGAAGAACCACTGCCTATCTAGAGACCTTTATTTACCAGAAAAGATCAGTAAGATTCAGATTGTGAGTACCAAAAATGAAATTCCTAATCCACATCAATCACACTGTTTCTTTTTGTTTCAGTTTGTGCCACCTCTAGATACCACTTGCTACATATTTTGTGTATGTTATCAGAAGGGATCAATTCCTTGAAGAATACATCATGCTTGGAAAAGGAACGGGTCAGTAAAGACAAAGGCAGCCCTTAACAAGACGGAGTGGAAAGTGTCTTGCAGAGTGGGATTCAATGTAGCCAGGATGGTGATGATGGCACAGGACTGGGTAGTGTTTGGCTATGTTGTACAAAGGTCTGTCATGAATGAGAACCAATTCAGTGGCATCTAATAACATTAATAATATTGCTAAATCATGGAAGTTAAGCAGATTAATGAGTAATGATGATTTGAAGATGGATATCTTGGTTCCTGGGATGATGGCAACTGGAACGTGTATATGGAAATGAGATCTTAAGAGGGCAGAGGAGGACAAAGTGAGCCACTCAGAGATCCAGTTCCCGGTCCCAGCAGGGACTCGGGTTAACAAATCACTGAACAACAAAGAAATGATTTAGTGACAGCTGCTGGAATCCTCGAGTCAGTCATCTCTTTGCCATCATTTTCACATTCCTAGTTTCAAAAAACCTTAAGAACTTTGTTAACTCAATTCGAAGTTGGTATCTATTTATAGAAAGCAAACAGGTGACAGGGATAATTTTTTAGGAAAGAAAATACAAGTCAGGAGGACTCACAAGTTTTGGTGAAATTAAGATCAAGAGTCAGATCTTCACGCATCATGTCCGTCTCCAAGGAACAGCTCCTCCTAGTAAAATGCCCAAAATATGAGGTGAGACTCAGCATTCTTGCCTCCAAAGAGCACTCTGGCTATACCCTCTTCAAGACATATCTGTTTCTTCTCTTGGCTGTCCGTGGGATGTTCAGTGCTCTTCTCCAACACCACAGCTGAAAGTAATCAATTCTTCTCTGTCATACTTATTCATGTTCAGCGCTTAGGTTTATAGCAAGTGATCAGAAAGACTATGGCCTGAATGCACCTAAGTCCTCAAACTGACATGATGATTTGGGAAGGTCCTGAACTATGTGTCTCCTTATTTCTTGACTGTTAATTGTGGATCCAAGCAGGATGAAACTGCTGATAGTGTGACACTCCCTTCCATCATGACACTAACGATCCAATGTTAAGAATCTTTGTTTTTATGACACTGGGATGCAATCCATACCAAAAGCTGCATTCCTTGATCTTCTGCAATAATTGCTTCAAGTCCTCCTTTCAGCAAGCAATGCTGTGTCATCTGCATAATACAGGTTATTGAGTCTCCCTCCAATTCTAATGATACACTCCTCTTCATAAGAGCTTCTTGGGTAGTTTGCTCAGCATACATACTGAATAGGTATGGAGACAGATTACAACTCTGATGGACTCCCTTCTCAATTTTAAACCATGCAGTGTTCCTCTGTTCTGTTTGCACAAGAGCCCCCTGGTCCGGGTACAGATTTCACATAAGCACAATTAAGTGCTCTGGGACTCTCATTCTTCTCAAGGCTATCCCCTAGAGAGGGACATGATGATGGGAAGGATGGAGGGTCAGCAAAGGTTGTGTCATCTGCATAATACAGGCTGTTTATGAGTCTTCCTCCCATCCTGATGCCAAATTCCTCCCAACTGCCTGTCTTCCAAATATCTGTTTGCATAAAGATTGAAAAGGTACGGAGACACACTCTTTCCTGAAAAGTATATATGCAAACCCAAGAGCCAACATCATTTTCAATGGAGAAAGACTAAAAGCATTCCCTTTTCAAACAGGGGCCCAATAGATGCCCATTACCGCCATTCCTATTAAACACTTTATTGGAAGTACTTCCTAGGGCAATACGAAAAGAGAATGCCTCTACCCATTACAGGCATTCAGATCAGCAAAAAGGTATTAAACAATCACTACATGCAGATGATATGATAGTGTACACAGAAAACCACAAAGACTCAAACAAAAAATCCTGTTAGGAGACCAATGTAGTAGAGTGGTAGGATATACAAAAATATGCACAGATCAATGAAATTACTCTACAGCACCAAAAAACCCCAATACTATTTACAATAGCCAACTACAAGATAAAATACTGGGTATAAATCTAACTTACATGCTGTTTTCCAAACAAACCCAGAAAGTGTTTTCTGGTGTTCTTTTAGAATTTAAGGAATCTGAGGACCAGGGAACACAGAATGGGGTCTAATTAAGCCCTCCACAGCAAATAATAATGTGATCATATTAGGCATATTAATACCTCCTGCTTTCTTCCCACACTCACATTCCATATACACTTTTGTTTACTGAGCTAAATTTATTGCTTTACTTTCTTGGCCAGTCTTTTGACTAGAAAATGAAGTAGACATTTTGCTGGTGGTTCTTCTTTATCAACATTTTGGTGACAGCATTTCTAAAGCATTTTACAAATTAAGACAAGTTGAAAAGAGCATTGATAAACGCTGTAGCTGTATTACATAGAAATTACCTACTCATGTAGCTGTATTATGTGTTACCTAGAAAATTTCATTACCAAAAAAAGTTGGACCTGGCCAGAAGTGCTCATGGGCTCATCCTACCAAGGACAACCACCTTGACATCAATTTCTCATTATACGGAGACAGAGAGCTTGGATTTCAAAGATGCCTGACTTTTTCCTAAAGGAAGGGCTGGAGAAATCCTACGGAGTAGCTTCATGATACTCCTCCTGGACTCCTGTATCACTCTGAACAAGTCTTGTATAGACCTACCTTTCAAACTGACTTCCATGACCAACCAGAGGCAACACCATGTGAAGATGACTTCTTGACTTACAGCCAAGAGACTTGGCCTCTAGTCTACAGGTACATGGTGATTTCTGGGCAAGCTACTCAATTTGGCAACTTCCTCATTTCCTTCTGTAAATTGATAACATGGACCTCAGAGTGTGTTTAGACTCAATTTTAGTTATTTTTTAAATAGAAAGGCTTCAGCTTAAACTTCAGACACAGCTAATAAATTATTTTGAAAAAGTACAGGTGGTGGTAACTTGAGTAGTCTTTTCAAAAATTTCCAATTGCTGGAGGAAATTTTCAAGTTGAGTGCAAAAATGTCTAGCTGCCACAAGGACCACTAAGAAATGCCATCTCTGACTTCTCTTCCTAACTGTGGCCTCAACACAGGACTAAAAGCTGTAGAATATGGCTAACTTTCTTTAGGACCGCAGCCTCTTCCCATTATCCTTTTGTACTTACTTGCCATGTATCTAAAAAAAAAAAAACTGGTTGCTTCAGGTTTCTTTGA